AGGATGGGTCGCGTCATATCACATTTAGCTCCTACGCTTGGATAGACTGCTGTTCCTCTCTGGCGTGGTGGCTAGCTTATTGGGTAATAGCACGGGCCGTTAATGGTCGTCCGCTCGGTTTCTGATGGAATCAGGGGGTACACACAACCGAAGAGTTGAAATAAGACGGATATTCCGTCTGGTGGGGTCGGGATTAGTAGTAACTACCTAACTTGAGATCTTACGACAAAATCCTTATACTTTTACCATAAAATTCCAAACATATGAGCAATTGACGCCTCATTACTCTGATTGCGGTCGCGGTTTAATTTGGTGTAAGCTACACCTTTCAATGTAATTTTGTTATGCGTCCCACGAAACAAATATGCATCCATTTGTTTACCTTATCCATTTTTACCCACGACAGATATTTCTGATTATATATTATCTCAGTTTCTATATGTCTATAGATGATAAACATGAAACATACTAAGCGTATGACCTAGACGTTCCATTGAAAGTATAAGCTGTGTGTACTGAATTCGCTCCTTATCTTAATGCATTCGTATGGCTTTTTCATCCAACTGGCCAAAGACAAGGTAACCAGCCGTTTTGCTGGATTCAGCTACCTATTTAGTTGGGGTTTGTTAGTCCTGGGGCAACCTAATTTAGACTTAACTCTTCGACTGCAAAAGCTCAGCGATTGTCTTTCTTACGACTTTCGGCATTTGGTCTGTGTTGCATATGTACCACCCGAACTGATGCTGGTTCTTTACAATCCCTTTATCTTCAGCGTCAAGATCTCGTTCAACACAGGACAGGTGAGTGAGAGGGTGGCAATCTATTTGAACATGCATACAGCACATTAATGTTTATAAAACAACCAAGAACGGAACATTGAAATATGACTAAAGAAGTATTCTGAATAATGCCGTAAGAAGACGAACACTGGCATATGTCAACATTTCGTATTGTCTCTTCAGTGCCAACACAATAACATGAAAATACATACGACGACAGGTAAGGTGAGAACGGAACAAGTTAGAACAGGGTAGGCCGCAGGCGTGACATCCCTACACCCAGGGCAGCCGTAGGCTAATAAAGAACTATTTCTACACACAGAATGTAGCTTTGATACGGCTGATCGCGACTACCTCTGAGAAATGTAGGAAATGAACGTTAGCATGTCTTAACACGATTGTAAACATTTATTCCGGATCAAACTGATGACAGGTGGCGAACAAATGTCTACCTATGGATGAAGCAGGTGGCTTGCGTGAACATGTGGTATGAGCAACCGACGACTGGGTGATTTGATGCTGCAACCATTTAGGTGCATGTTCCCTTATTCTATAGTTCAACGATGTATTGGTACGGCCGATGTAGTACATACCACAACTACAAGTAAATTGGTAAATACATTGTGAGTTGGCGTCAATAGGTTGCCTTTCCGTCATTGGGGTAACAGGTATTCGATTAGTCCGGTTGATAAGAACGGTTTCAGCAGCATAACAAGTCCTATGGACTGCGGAAGTTATGCGCTTCGTTGTCTTCATATTGACAAAGTCACCTTTAAATGGTAACTCTATGTAGACCTTCTTTTTAGACACTGTCGAAGCCTTCTGTCCCGGCACTCTCACCTGATTATGTTTGTCGATAAATCTTCATGGATAGCAATTTTTCAACAGCGTGTCCATGAGTGAGGTTATCTCATCATCTAATCTGTCGTTAGTGCATATTTTTCTTGCACGGTTGAATAGCGTCTTAGCTTAACTCCGCTTGTACCGCCTGCCGGCTACCCTGTTCTAACTTGTTCCGGTCTCATCTTACCTGTCACTGTATATATTTTCATGTTATTGTGTTGGCATTGAAGAGACAATACGAAATGTTGACATCAACCAGTGTTTGTCTTCTTACGTATTTATTCAAATTACTAAATGAATCTAATTGTTTTAAAGAAGTATTGTCGAATACAAATAGTATTTGATCGAGTAAGCAAGTAAATTGTAGGGATCATTACTCACGCGAGGAAATTTTTCGGTTGCAGCACCTTTACCTTTCGAATGTGTTTTATTCATATTAGCAATAAATTGGAAATCATCCTAGTTATCATGTTTTGCTTAGACTCCTTCTTTGAGGCTATCACATTTAACATGCCACCTACCATTTTGGTAGCAGGTGTCAGTTTGAATGTCCTAAGTTCGTGAATATGCATGTAGATAATTGCACTCTTTTTAAACCAACCCTAATTATAGTAGATTAACGAACTCTCGCGTGCACGCTTCTTTTGTCCTTTGTAACAGCATCGCAGATCCCCTGGAATCCCTTGGTGACAGCAGTTGTGCTTCATCGCTTCGATCGGACTCCGACGCCGCAGATGAAATGGAGTTGAGGAAAAATTCCTTGGTGCATTTGTCGGTTCCGCTTACTTCTTTCGGATCCAAAAGTGCTTCGCCTCCCCGTGAAATCTTGCAACATTCAGCCCTTTCTTCCACCAGCTTAATTGAACAGCAGAGGACCAGTTCTATCAGCCGACACAGATTACTTCTGCGCTCAGAAACCGCGTTGCCTGATCAGCTACCGCCGTCTAAAGTTGAGCCCCTTTACGAAGACTCTCGACCAAGGGCTCAGGCTAAGCGGTTGATTAAGTCATCATCCTTACAAGACGATGAGGTATATAGTGTGTCAACAGCGCCACAACAGCCCCCACCAATTCCGCCCCGTATTACAGTTGCCGGTAGCATATTGATGCACGCACCAGACGACCGCAAAAAATCACGTGATCCTGATGATGTAAACCAGGCAACTGCTCCACCTGTACCTCCAAAAGTTAAGCCTCGATTACGTGGTCCTCTAAAGGCGACCCCTACATCGTCAGCTGGGACCTCCTATTTGCTGACGTCACAAGATTGTGCTGGTGTACCGACTAATCGCATGAGATGCCAGTCGTTAATGAACCGAAACTCTATCTGTTCCCTCCCTGCGGCCTTGGGATATGAGACCAGAATAGTCGGTTCTTTGGCATGCTCACCTTGGACAGGTTCCACGGTAAGAATCCTAGACCAGCAAAATTTCACTTCTGACTCGGTACTGGGTACTCGACATAACATACGTGACCGCAGACACGGTTCAGTTGAACGAGTGAGTTTTACAAGTCATTTTAACAATACCAATTTCAAACAAGCTAGTGATTCGGTCAAGCTCAGTCCTCTTCTGAAGACAACACGCACGCCTTTGGCTGAACTGCCGAGAACTGAGGTTTCCGGTGTTCAAACTAGGCAAAGCAAAAATACAACGCACAATTCAGTACCAACTCCTGGCGATCCATGTGGATATACCGTTTATCGAGTAGAAGGTCGTAAATACCTTATAAACACACCTCCACCTACTCCACCGAGGCATCAGCAACCTGTTCAGGAAACCGCTTCTGAGTCTCCCTCAATAATGTCGGTTAATCATCAACCAAATGCCGTCAGGAGACGTCCATACTCCATAGATCGTTCAACCATTAATCTGGCAAAACCGATCATGAAGGCTCTCGATACTGTTTGTATGTTTCGTGGAGCCACACAGACACCAGCTGGCTTAGAACTAGTTCAATCATTCGAACATCCTGAAGGCTTGGATATAGTGGGAACTGACCGAGCTGAGCGAAGACGGTCATGCGTCCGGCGGATAAGTTCACATGCTTCCACTATATCCAGCGAATCAAACACATTGATCTCCACTTCCACGGAAAAAGTTGATTCCATTTCTTGATAATGCAGTGTCTCCTTACTTCCCTTTATCCGATCAATGACGTCGCTCTCATAGGATAACATACGTCACACAGGAAGCTGCATACATCCTTAACCGATGGTGGATTTCGGTGTATTGGAACCGAATTTATTCAAATCTGCACGGTGGTCAGAAAATTTGCAGCCGTTCGCTTTGTCGGATCCAGCTTATATGAATTAATAAAACCGGCCATGGTAGCTGCACCTGTACACATTACTGCGCATCCGATACGTAAACTATATGCTTGCGAACTCTCACCGAGTCACATAAATTTTGATCACTTCTTTGTACTGGAGACGGCATTGTTTCTGTAAAATGTTACAGTACTCACATGTACGTGTCCGAGAGCAATTCCTGCGTAGGAGAGCGTTCCTAAGACTTAGAGGCTTTAAGCACTTGCTTCGCAAGCAATATACCCCAAGACTTTCTCTCTCTCCATGCTTCGTTTGGGTGTGCAGCGGTTGGAATTGATTTATCGAGCTTTGGAAGTACTCTGTGCTACATCAATGTTGGTAAACAATCAATCCGCAGATATTTTGTCGGCCAAAGTCGTATTTTGGGCAAAACATTGCTAAGAAAAAGGCGTTTGTTGATCATTCTTGCAGCGAGCATCTACTCAGTTAGTTGAAACTGTGAAACGAGAGGATAAATCCGCAACCCGTAGATCAGTGTCGACATATTTTTGTCCTACTTTTCCGGTCCTAGCATACCGACTTTGCTTCGTTGTTCAGTGGAAAGTTTCTAAGAATTATAGGTTTATCCTGAGTAAGAATTCGCCGCATGTTAGGTTTGGCATTGTTCGGATAAAAGTTAGCTTACTAGTCGTATTTAAAGTAGCTTGATCTGCGGAACTGTGCCTGACTGATGCTGGAAAAGCATGGATCCTTGAGGAAGCTCGGTTGAATGCCGGATGCAGCACAAATAACATCTGCTACCCTAAGATTGTCTACGGAGTCCGGAATGTTGAAGATTAGAACACTTTGGATGACATTTTGGTAGCGAATTCTCATACAACACATTTGGGTGGTAGTTCTTCCTTGCGTACTTGATATGCTACAAGATTTAGGAGTGGTGAAGTTGGTATGGTGGCGACGTTTGTCTAGTTTGTCTTGGGAGTGCGGTACCGACTCACAATTTGACCAGAATTCGGCACGTGACCATTGGTGGTGCATTCGATTGGTGGTTGAGTTGTTATTTTCTTTTTAGATGAGTCTAACAGACTGTCACTATAGATAGACTCATAAGCATTTGACGAATGCGTGGAAATAGCTAATTAAATTTCACCACTGAGTGGACACATTTTACTGTTTTTTCTTCCGGCGGTCACCTTAGGACTCAGTTTACTGGACACAGTGGTCTTTCAACCGAAAGTTGTACCCGCCACTGCTGACGGATCTTCAAGAATGGTTACTTTACTAGATGGAGGTGGGTAACTGGTATCAACGTTGGGTAGCAACTAATTGACATTATCCGAGTCAATGTTATCGTCAAATCGAGATGAGATTGCTGACCACCCAGCCATAGTACCTGATGAACAGACAAAAGGGCTGTTGAATAGGTTTCTCGGTGTACGCGAGAAACCGTCTCTTTTCGCCAAAGTTATTTCTTTAGTGGAGTTTTATCTGCAGCAATTTTTAGGGACTTAAACGTAGCTTTGGCAGAAATTTGATCAGGTTTTCCGATAAACTCGGTGGCAGTCAGAACATCTGCAAAATGAAAAAGTATAGGACAGGGGCGGTGCAAAATCTTCATTCTTAGCCTCATGCAAACGCACGATACATTAGTCATACCGCTAGCTCGAAGCAAAATATTCCGTATGGAAGTTATGGCAATTTTGTCGAAAATATTAAAGACTATCTCATTTTTGGGCACCGCACCCTATTGAAGGCTTCTGTGGCTATCGTTTCGATGAATGCTCCTACAGGAATTAGGTGTTCTGCAATTGTACAGCTTAGTGTCTGCAGTAGATAAGTCAAAGGCTCTGTTTTTTAAGGGCTAGGTGTAAAGCGCCAACGGTTGCTATTTTGGTTTTCAACTCATCCAGTTCCTTACAAATGGTTTGTAAATTTCAGTAGTACCGAGGACAGGATCAGGGGAGCCAGCATGATTATGTTTGAGGCTAGTCGTCTTTTTGCTCTTAAGCGGTTTAGCAGTAACTGCTGCTTTGCCTGAACGTCACGCTTTTACGGCACTAACGGATGCAGTAGTAGCAGTGCCATCCGTGAGGTTTACGGTGGTTTCTGGCTTTACTTGCGATTTAAATAATGAGCTTCTCCTACTCTCAAGGCTAGCAAGCATCTCTAAATGGAGCACGCCGTGGTGTGTTAAGATGATACACGTAAAATTATGAAGTTCTAAGACTGGATAATATGACCTAAGGTTCCAAATACTATCAGCGATACTCAAGGATGGCGTTATAAAAACCAGACTACAAACCAACCATATTAGTTTAGCTCTGCCTTCAGGTATCGGAATTCGCCAAGAGTGCAGGTAATCCACCGTTGCGTCACAGGCAGGCGACGCGTTCGTTAGTTTTGTTCCTTCGAATATCTGTCCCAGTCCGGCAGTCCGTGCCTGGGCGGTGGTTACTTTTACCACGTTCACTAGTAAATGGTTTCAAGTTGTCCTTCTCGTATCGACCAATTGCGTGTCAGGTACATGTGGGATGCTAACAACTTTTTCCGCAGCCGTTGAATGCTCGTGTCTCCCTAACTCCGTAGGGGCAGATGGCGACGCACCATCACCAATCGCTGGTCCCTGTTAATCACTGCCCCCTAGGACACAGTTGTAACACGTGCACAATTCAGATGGAAATTGGGTGTTGCCAACCCGAAAAGACTGCACAACCACCATGTGTTTCTAGGTAATTTCATCTCATCAGGTGGAGACAGCAGGTCTCGATCCTGCGACCATTGGAATAGTATCCGAAACCTCTACCCCTTTGGCTACCGGGTCACAGTGGGCTACTATTCCAATGGTCGCGGGATCGAGGCCTGCTGTCTCCACCTGATGAGATGAAATTACATCGAAACGCGTCGTGGTTGTACAGTGTTTTCGGTTGGGCAACACCCAATTTCCATTTGATTTGATTACGGTCCTGGTGATCGCGGTGACTAAGGTTCACTTCGATGTGAATCCCAGTGCAGTACATTGAGATTGCGTGTCTCAATCCAATCACACAAGATGCACAATTCCTTAGTTTGGACGGAGCAGTTCGACTGGGCCAAGTCAAGCACAACGTGAGTGAATCATTTCCGGACGCACGATGCCGCCTCCTATAGTCTAATCGCTAAACTCTCAGCCGATTCAAGCAAGCGCTTTCGAACGTAATTGATCGATTTTCAGGTGGTCGATAGATGATCGAATGCCTCGACTAGGTTGGGAGTATGGCCCATGTCGGCAAGATGCGTGTAGATGGTGATCTGGTTAGCTTTCAGCACCTAGCCGCAAGCCAGGTCTGGTGGTGTTGTCTCACCCTGCCAGACAGGCGCCTCGTCGCACGCTCAATTTACCCCGAACCACAAGAACAGGTGAATGAGTAAACACATATAATTGGCGTGGACAGGCCTTTTATCTTTTGGGTTACTTTTCCCCATCGCGCTACTGATGAAGTGAATTTGCATTTTGGCTGCTGGGAAGGTGTGCCGGAGAGCTCGAGGAATACGACAAGTTAGAATTTCAGTAACGATTTCAGCTTCATACGGTAATTGTAGGAAAAGCAGTTTCTTTCCCGCTGTGAGAGTTACAGGATCTATGCTCCCTTGTTCCATTTTGGCCTTAATGAAACCATCCGGGTACCCATTTTCCTTCAGGGTTAAGCACATGCACTACAGCTCCTCAGAGAACGTGTCATTCGAGCAACTTCTTTCTGCCATACTCCTTAAACTGAAAATCAGGTTCCGTTATGATCTAAGTCGAAACAAAACTAGAAATCGTGTATTGTCCGTTCCAAGTACGTTTCTTATACATGCTGTAGCGCAGCATCATCGAGTCGCTTCAGGGTCACGTCGAAAAAATAAAAAGAGCTATCTTCATCTACCTCGGATGTAAACATTAGCGCTGTGTGCTCTTGGTTACAGGTGCTAACCTTGTCGTTTTTTGCATATCACTGTACAAGCCTCAGGCCAATTATTGAAAACGTATGTTCGCTTGATAACATTGAGTTCTCATCCATCATCAATGGGATATTTTACTACTGTGAATCACCAGTTGGTCAAATGCTGGCCTTCACCTTACGGTCAGACGGTATGTTGAGGGGTATGGAGAAGGAATGCCTGAATATCGATCGGGCAAGCAAACGTAATTGGTTGCAAGCCAGTCGCAGGTCGTTTCACCAAGTCATAGTTGACAAGAGGACCGTTGCAGTTGAAGAAAATTTGGACTGTATGTGTCTTCTACTGCAAATTTCAAAAGTGATGCCCTGTTCGTTGAATTTCCCTCAGCTATGTCGGCAAAATGGGACCACACACATAGTGTAGACAAGCTAGAGTAAGATAATCGTTGGCACGAGAATTCCATAGTGAAGGTGAGAATAATGGGCAATGGCGGAACGTGTTCAAACGTCGAAGGTTAGATCCGATTATAGAAGAACAGTAGATAGATCCTGATAAGGCGAATAGTATGAGTGAACTCAAACGAATGTGCTATTAAATCTTGCTAAGCAATCCTACATTTTGTGGGAGGACGGAGCCAGCGCAAATTCACTTGAGTTCACGCGAAAAGTTGTACATCTTATGGTCGAGTCAGATGAAATGATGGTTGGTGCGCTTGTTAACATTGTGCCAAAAGTCGACATCTTGAAGATAGCGACAAGCCGTATTTTCAAGTCAAGTAAGTGCTTTGTGTTAGTAGGATGAGTAAATATTCCGTAGTAACATACACACTTTCAACTATGCGGGGTGTTAAAAATTCAATTTAAATAGATGGATTTTAAATGGAAAACACATTACCATCATAGCGTAAAGTGGCTGGTTAATCCTCGGAAGATTGGTTAAGGAATAACAGGCATAAGGCTAGATAAGGAATAGACGGCGAACGATATCCTCGTGTTCGGGCATAGATGGACATGCTTCAGCTTCAGAACATCAACGTCAAAAATTGCGGTACTTCGAGTAACCCCGCTGCGTTGTTTCAATATCATCTAGTGTTCACGAAAGCAACCATTCCCAATTGTAGCCTGCACGTACACGTTGTTGAGACAGCGTAACGCCTTTCTCATGAGAAGAGAGGCTGTACGGAAATTTTGTCTTTTCTTCTGAAAACTTTATCTTTTCGTATACGAGATCATCAAACGTCGGTAGAAGAGAACCTGTCCGCAAGGGTGAAAAGCGTTCTGCATGGACGGCAAATGTCTAAACATAAGTTCAGGTGGCTCGTCAAGTGATGCCGATACATAGCTATAACAGTGTCAAAAAAATAAACTGAAGTTGGTGGATGATATCATTTGGCCTAACCGGTTACTATTTGGTCGTGTCATCGCCTCAATCTGAACTTACATTTGTTGCGACGTAACCCCCTTATGTATTGTCATACAATAGAT